GCGCGAATTTTCGGGGAGAGCCACATGTTTATAGATAGAGGGAGCTAGGAGAGTCGAAATTGAGCACGGTTTGCGGCCACGCGATCGTGATCGAACGACCGAGATGATGGATGGGGTTTAGGTGGATTTTAGGCCACTATGAAGAGGTGTTGGGTTGCAACACACACGATGCCTTTTCGGTTCCTCGGTAAACTGTTGGAGTATCAAACGAAGTCTAAATGGCACGAAACTTGACAGGCGGTCTACCCGTAGTAAACCAAGGCCGCTTGGCAAGTCTCGGTCCAATCCGAGAACGTTTAATACCCGCACATGAAAAGAGGTAAAAGGGAACACCGGATGACATAGGAGCGCCGGAATGCAAAACGGACAACGGGGAAAAAGCTCGGATGCATGAGACGAACATGTATGTAAATGCGATGCACATGATGACATGATATGAAATGCATGACACGCAAACAAATGACGAGGCAACAACAGCGAATAACTGAAAGACACCTGACACATCGGTCTCGGGACGTTACACACATATCCCACTTCGACGGTGAGACCTGGGGAGGAGGCGGGGCGCGGGGATGCGGGGTGAGTTGGGACGTGTGAGAGGAGGCATGGGAGGTTGTTTTCAGGGGCGACTAGAGGTACGTGGACAGAGGCGGACGTGCATCTTGGAAGGTACATCTGTTAATTGAGAAGGCGTTGATCGAGGGAGCGATTTGGGTTTGAGGGGTAGGACAAGCGTGTGGTAGTCTCCTTGGGTAGAACATTTAATCTGGAGCGTTAGTTTATCTAGCAGACCTTGACGTCTTCTCTGGTAGTCTGGTAGTCCTGTGGACACTTTTTGGTCGATATACAGTACTATGCTATCTTGGAAGTTGGAACCATCGATGGTCGTTTGCTAGAGTTGTAAACTGATGCTAATTTTGAAGTTTAAAGCCAATATCCTTCGCAAGGCAATAAAATGGTTTGTCAACGATGTTCTGAATAGTCAAAACTAAAACCTAAAATTTGACACTATGGTCAGCTATTTTTTATCTTGCATATTATATTGACTTCGGAGTTCAAAATCTGGCAGCCCTAGTAAATCCTCGATGATATCAGTTGGATTCGAGAACAGATTCAGCCTTGCATTGTCTTTGTAGAAGACTTCCATTCTTGAGCTCCAAAGGCAAAACACTTTTGATATAGAACCTCTCGTGCTTTGCTTTCTCCTCCTCATAAAAGGCTGCAAACTCAGCTTCCGAGACCGGTTCATCATCATCATCATCGGAACTGTCCACCTCGGAGTCTGCTTCTGCAACCTTGATGGCCTGCTCTGTAGTCACTGAGTCGGCAAGGGCAGTATCTTCCTCGCCATGCCCGTCGGTCGGCACCTTCCTTTTGGTGGAGCAGATTATGCCCTGGGTTGTGCGCTGCTTAAGCTGCAACTCATTTCCGGCGAAAGCCACCGCCGCCGCCGTGCTTGTGGTGGTGCACGGCTTCAGCGAGAAGCCATCCAGATTCTTGCTGCCGTCTCTGTGGTTGCACGGCTTTAGGGCATCCTCCTCCTTCTCTTCCGCGCCACGTCTGGCGCCGCCTCACGGCTTCAGCAAGAGAGAGTCCTCCTTTCCGGCCATCGGCGATGGCTGGAATGGCCGCGACGAGGGGTTTCGGCGTCGGGTTGGGCGGATTCGCTAGGATTTTGTGGATCTAGGTTGCGTGCAAGCTGGTGGAGACGGCGGTGTCCTCTCGTCGTATATAAAGGTGGAGCCGAGGGGAGCCCTAGCGTGCTTCGCGGGCTCAATTGCTCGGAGTCCGGTCCGTCCAGTTCTTTCCTTCCTTCCCCCTCTCACCATGGGCCAACAGGCGTCTTGCACTTTCCCTCTTTCTCTTCCAACAAGGAGAGGATACGGCCCAACTGCTGCGTCCACTTCCATGCGCTCTTGTTTTGTTTGATTTTGGCCAGGGGCGCCATGTCGGACTAGGACAACTCCATGATCTGAGATATATTTCATAAATTCATATTCTATGACCTTTGATGGATAAAATTTGGCTTTTCCTTCTTAAAAAAAGAGAAAGGTATATTTTTCATCCCTCAATTCTTAGTGGAGTCTAAATTTGATCCCTCAACTACGAAACCGGACAACTTGCACCCCCAACTAACGAAACTGGACAAGGTTCGTTCGTGGTCTTGATTTTGACCGGTTTTGGTCTTGATTGACCCCGGTTTTGACCGGTGCCGACTCAAATTCGCGTAATATTTTAAAATCCATGAACCTTTTGAAATTCACATACTTATTTCAAGTTAGCATAATTTTTTTAATCCACAACTTTTTTCTAATTTGCATAAAAGTACGCGGATTTGGAAAAAGTACATAAATTTTTAAAAATTTCATGTATTTGAGAAAAGTACCCAAATTTGAAAACATTAAGCGGACTTGCAAAGGTACGAGAATATGAGTCGGCACGGTCAAAACAGGGATGGGACAGCACCAAAATCGGTCAAAAGTGTGACCAAGGATGAATCTTGTCCGGTTTCAGTAATTAAGGGTGCAAGTTATCCGGTTTTGGAGTTGAGGGACCAAATTTAGACTTCGTCAAGAATTAAGGGATAAAAAGTATACTTTTCTCTAAAAAAAGCCAAGGCCGGCCAAACTTCTCTGTTTTTTCAACTTCTTCAGGTAGCCTTTTGTCAAAAAAAATCATTCAGACGGTGTCTTAGATAAATGGGATGTTCTCTTTTTTATTTGTGGTGACATAAGTGGAAAGTTCTCAAAAATATATAAATGGAAAACATACATTTTTTTCAGCTCATCTAATTCCGGTGGGTTGGTGTTAACTTTGTAACCGTCCAGTCTTTAAGATATTTTTATTTTTTCTGGGATTTTAAACTCCCCTTACGAATTCATCGCCCCCATTCACCTACACAAACAGTCGACCACTATATTAGAGAATGACATTGAAATCAATTCTCTTTCAGAAAAATGGTGTGCTACACAAATACACATTCCACATACCGGTGGAGATCATTTATGATAAAAATATTTCTATCGCTATATATTCTCGCCAATAGTCATGACTGCATATGGCAACAGGGCCTCGTTCCTCCATCCTCAGAGAGTGCCATGCCAGGGCACTCCCAATGCACTATATCTTTAGCACCTCTTGAATTAACAAAATACCTCTTGTATTATAGAATTGTGATATCAACTCGTGTGCATCTACAAGATGTTCGCAACATAATAAATTGAAATCAATTCATACTAGAACAAGGATTGGTTTTAAGCTACATATCAAAACATACTAGTGTCCTAGCGGCAACTACAACCTAATGCAGGAATGCACAATGAGACTTATACTAACCTCTTCTCTGGGTCATGCTCTGTGTAATGCCGCTGAAAAGATTCAACGTCCAAAAGCATAGGGTAGATACACTCTAAGTCAGCGGGAATCACAATGACTAACTCTTTTGTCAATTATTGCAGTCGAGAACATCACATTCTCTATAAAATATTGCACAAAATAGCTCAAAAACAATTTGCACAATAACTCAAATTTTCCGCACAATAGTACACTTTCCACAATAGCATTAAATTTCTGCACATTCTCTAAAAGATAAAGAACACAAAGGAGTTGGGAGGAAGAAATACATATGTCATGCTCGACACCTTTTAGCTACTGATGCATGGAGCAGCATGTCGCAGAAGGAGATCAGAGAGGGCAATGGTGACGGGAAAGGAAGGATAATATGATATAAGGCAGGAGCTTGAACCAAAAGGGACATGGCCCCCAAGGGCCGAGCTCGATCGGGTTAGGGCTCTGAACACGAGGGGGTCGACAGAAGAGGGTGTTGGTTGATTGGCCTGTTCTCCATAGCCGCCCGCCTACACAAGCCTCTGGTGCTCCCCGTCCGCTCGCCCGCATAGCAATGCAACATCGAGCTCCTGCCCGCATGCCCGCTCGCTCTACTGTTCTACAAGGGTGATGCCACCACGGTGGAGAAAAGGGCGGCACGAGGAGCCTGAGAAGAGTGTCGGCCGGCGACAGATAGGTCGTCGTGCAAAAGAGACTGGAGGCGGGGCTGGGCGGGGCGATGTCGTCCACATCTAGGACCATCGCCACCGTCCATGGTGCGGACGCGGAGGGTAACGATGGTGGGAGCCATCTGTTGGCCACGCGAGACACCTGGTGGCGGATCGAGGTCTGGGACGATGACTTTTACGGGGA